TAACGAATGAAATGACATGTGTGAATTCAAAATAGTACTGTCGTCTCTATTAGGTTGGTTGCAGTTTCATGAATAGAATAATTAATGGAAGATTTGAATTTAAAATCTTAGTACTGTCGTTGTTACTAGGCTAGTTGTAGTTTCATCAACAAAAATACTTATTACAGATAGGTGTGAATTCAAAATTGTACTGTCGTCTCAATAATAGGTAGTTGCAGTTTCACGAATAAAAACATGAATTGAAGATGTGAATTTGAAATACTTAGTGCTGTCGTACTGTCGTCTATACTAGTCTACTTGTAGTGCCATCAACAAAAATACTAATGAAAGACAGGTTTGAATTTAAAATTATACAAGTTCATCACTTCTCCTTTACTATTGTTGTTTCAACTGATTAGTCGCAGTTCGGACTGCTATCCTCTACTGCTACCGTTTCTTTTTAGTAGTTACTTTTAGAGCTGCTATCAGAGTTCTGGATGATACAAGCACATCCTATTGAAAATGACGAACGTGTATTTACATCTCCTTCACTGCTGTAGGTTGTACATAGTACTACGCATTGAAAGTGAAAATGGTTGGCATGCACTGATTGAACAAACAGTGTAAACAGTTGAACTGGAGTCTGGACGAATCGATAACTGTTAAACTGAGAAGGAATCAGCTGGGGCTGGTAAGAGAGCACATGTCGATATGTCATACCGAAATGTGCGGACAATAACGACTTGTATTACATTAAGTAGTCAGATATGTCATGATTCTGAACTAAGAAAATATATCGCGACAGGTCGGAGACTAGCTTGGTAAGGTGACATGGCTTTGTCATATACCGGCCCAGCGAATCAGCCGTTGATGTCAATAACAGTTAATTTCATAGCAGCATTCTGAACAACTAATAATGAATAAAGTCGAACCAGAAGTAGAGATATTACGAACCAGCCAGTTCATTTATACCAGTCGTTCATGTCAACAGTTGGCTTAATAGCAGTACTTCTGAACAACCAATAAAGTCAACCGAAAGTAGCGACAAGGAATCAGCCATTAGCGGCAGCAACTGTTTTAGCAACAACAAGAAGACAACAGAAGAGTGCTGTCCTGTGACAGTCTGACGCAATGACAATTTTACAGGAGAATTCCTTTGTCAATTTTACTGGGGGATAGATTGTCGAGACGATGTAGTCCGTCCTCACTCTCTCTCTCGAACGAGGTGTAATAGCATCAAGTATAATGTTGAATCGGACAATAGCTCTCCCACAGGTGATAGATCCCCCAATCTCGACCTTCACAGGAAGGTTGTGATCGATAATCATTGAAGCCCCAGCGAATGAGTGCAACTACTGGAGTATAGTGGCTCTTGAATGGTATAAAATGTTCAGACCTTCATAGTTTGTATCCGCGTGTCCACGTGCAAATTGAGCAAACTTACACCTGTGACCGCTAGGTTGAGCATGGTCATCAGAAACAGTGCGCTGTTCCGAACGGATCAGACATGCGTAATGTGTTCCCTATTGCTTTGTCATGTATCTTGAAATTCAATCCATAACACAAAAGAAAAGCATAGCAGTATACCATATGGCTATCACAGTATGCCCTTCCCATGCCTACTTCGCATTGTGCGTTTACAAAAGCCGCCATACAAAATGGTGCCACATCAGCATAGCGCCGGTGTATAGGCCATCTCCACTATAACAAGCGAATCAGTGCGTGACTCTCACTATCCTTTGCCCTACTACACTCCCATACACAAAGTGTGCCCTATCGCAGCGCGCGGAATGGCCCCATCCGCCGCGATTAGAAAGGGCTTCTCACCAGGTCGTGTTCATTATTGTGAATACCCCTGCCTGCAATTGTTGTATATGACGCGTATTGGCCGCTTTATCCTCTGTTTCAGTTTGTTGTGACAACCATCAAGGCCTTCTACGCCTATCAATGACTTAATCCTTTTAACATTACTCGCTGGTGTTGCGCTCCTACATTGACCGCCGCGCTTCAAAAAGTGGCCGACCGTTTTAGTACTGATGAAGGCCTCCTAAGCAAAAGCAAGCCCATCGATACTTCATCCACTACCCATTCCTTCAGTAGTGTACCGAACATCTACATTGGCCGCGTTACAAACGGCGACCAATCAATGCAGCATCCATTGTGGACCTTTCGCGCCAAATCAGGTTCCTTCGAGGACTGTTTCTTGCGCATGTGCCTCGTGGCATCGTGCTCTCGCGGCAATCCAAACAGTGACGGACATTTGTTGTACTGATGGACGACTATCTATACTACTGTGCCAAAGCAGGTCCGATGCTATCGTTTCCTCTGACCGCTACTTTTTGGTATCGCGCTCCCACATTGGCCGCGATACAAACGGGGACCGATCGTTGTAGCACCGCAGAAAGGCCTTCTCCACAATGACACGCGCATCGGTGTGTGAATGGCCACCGGATGACATCAACGACAACGTAGCGTCGTTCTTAATGCATTCTGTGCGCTGTGACGCGTACAGCTTATCTGTATGTGTGATATAGTATGCCGCATGAGTTTGTGGGTGGGTCCGTATATGCAACTGAGATGTAGGACATACGCACGTGGAGTTGTAAATAGACGAGTTCTTGTTCTCTATTGTAAATATAGTGGCAGCTCCCGTAGTATAGGCAGATACACTACACCTCTCTATTGGGCAACCGTATGTAACAACATAAACTGGTTGAAACCAGGTATACTCTCGTAAAGTAGGCGAGAGTCATATTCAATCCAGCCTATGCCACCACACGAGTGCGTGGCCATAATCGGGTCGTTTTGCCTTGAATTGATATACAGTTTACTATGTACAGGTGATGGCATGATGCTTCAGACCTCATCCTAACTCTTGGGTGATTTTAAACACGCAATCCTAAGGCAGGTGAATACTTGTCCTAATACCGAGCCTTTTACTATACACTGAGACATGGCTTCAGGGGTTTAGGGCTCTAGGACATCCTAAGGCGTGTGAATACTTGTCATAATACCGAGTCCTAATACCGAGCCTTTTACTGTATTCTGAGACATGGGTTTA